TAGAAATATATTGTTCGAATAATAACAAACGATGAATACAATCCTACACCCCCCACCAATCTATAACGCACAAAGCCGCGACCGCGTGTGTTTTAATTTAATTATTTTATTACTGATCTCAGGGCTTAGCGATCAAAAAAAAAAAAAAAAAAAAGAATAAAATGGGGTACAAAAAACGCAGAGCAATTGAGATAACGCCAAACTTCAACAAAACCAACCACAACAAAACAAAAGAAACTGTCAAAATGAATAATTATAACAAAATCATTTGGCATGAAAGATTATCACAAAAAATAAAGAAGAAATATTAATAAATATTTTAGTGCTTACCTTTTTAGGTTTTGAAAGGGGTGGCTTGAAAATCTGAATCAACACTTTCAGAAGTTTTTTTCCTTCCCCCCCCCTCTTCTCTCCCCTGTGCACTTCCCGCTGGCAAAACTGAGCAAAATGAAGCAAAGAACACAAGTGCAATCGGCCTGCTCTCTTTATCCATGATAACAACGTCTAGCAAGAGAGAAACGCGGTGTTAGAATTAAATGCTGGATTGTCAAAGATAAACCAACACAAGTAGATACGGAAAAGACCGGATCATAGCATACTTATTAGTTTAAGGTACGTGCAAATACTAGACGAGGATTACACTTCATGGTGTCATCTTCAGCAACAGGAAAGCAGGTCTTATCCTATTACTTACATCGAGATCTTGTTCACTGTCGACTCAGCTCTGTGCACACCAGACGTACATATACGACCTTGTGTGAACGATACGCTACCAGTGACCGCGACAGTGTTCCTCGTTACCGTTACACATCTAACCATATGCATGCGTACGCGACGATTCATGAACTTAAAAGCGTACAATACAAAGAGACCGTCAGTGGTTAACCAATCGCAAAGGCAATGTGATCCACATGGTAACGAAGCTACCCCCGTCATCGTAATTAAGTTAAATAATATTTGGCTCGACTGTGGGTGGCTAGCTTAGGTACCCTGATATCTGATGAGGGGGTGGCGAAATAAAGTCAACCACAGGTTCATAAAATCAAAGATATGACCTAAGCCTCCATTTTGAACATTGAAGTAAGAAATGAAAAATTAATGTCAATTGATTGTCAATATTTCAGACAGGTGAATAGAAAATCTTAAACAGTGTATAATAGGGTTGTCCAGCAAAGAAAGCTAAGGAGCTCTGAAATCCACTAGAGTCTTTTCAGTGTAGAAGAAAGAAAATGGGGGTTCGATTGTTTGAAAATTACACCGTTGATTCAACGTGTCAGATGTAAGAAGAAAATGTGGGGGCGTTTTCGATGAATTTGAAATTAAGAGGAGTTTGAATTGAATGACGGAAAATAAATGACATAGAAGACAGTTATCCTTATAAGGAAAAGAGTGCAATTCAAAAAAGACACTTTCTATGCTTAGCAAGTTTTCTAATATAAAACGTTTTTCAAACGTCGGATGCATGACAAATGAATCTGAAAAAATGTGGGAGCGTAAGAGGGCATTTTGAAATTAAGAAAGCTCTCATTTGTTGACCAAAGGATCGAACGGCGAGAAGTGCATACGATAGCAAGGAGGTCCTAAGTCAGAAAATAAATTAATTTATGGAAGTTTTGTGTCTCTAAAAGACAGAGCCGTTGAATATGCACCAATTTTTAACTATGCGACGTTATTTAAAAGCAATTACAAAGAATATTTGTTTACTAAAGGGCGCAGGGATTTATTCCTTCGTTACAGATAAATCCTTCATTTGCCTTAATAAAACATGCGATACCAGTTCATTGACGTAACTATTTCCAAAATTTTCTTCTTAAAGAATGAAAGGAAAGTGAATCTAGATCTGACATGCGGTCCTATGTTACCATGATTACCAAACTAAATAGAGTACGGAAGAAATCATTTCAACAAAAAACCCTTTCTAAAACAATAAGATTAAGAAAACAATATAGGAAAGAGCCCAAGAGCGAAATTCTGGAACTTTTCAGCTAAATGTTGAGACCAAACCCCCCCCCCCCCCAAAGGGAGGCCAAAATCAAAAGTGCAACAAAAACGAACAAATCAAAAGGAAGGCAAATGTATTAAAGGGCGACTGTTTTTGGATCTCTTATCATTCGTAACTGACATGCATGGTGCTTGTATTTGTCACTGGAGATTTAGGGACCAGTAATAACCAATTAATGGAAACATTTTATACAAGTCTAAAAAAGTAGATTTTATAAGAAAAAGATAACAAAGACGATGCCAATGGGAACATATAACAAAATCCAGGTTTTGGCAAAATGGAAAATTTTGCTTAACATAAGGAAAAATCGAGCACACATTACGCTGCTCTTTAAGATGTTATCTTTGGAAAGCATGTGTGTAGCTTTTAACTCACGATGCAATGAGAGGTTTTACAGACATGGCCATCGCTATGGAGGAAAAGGTGTGGGGAATGTGAAACCCTCCTTGAAAACAAAATTCCGTCGAAAAAATGAGGAGTTCTTGCCAGCTAGTGGTTCTTAGTGTGCACATGCTCAATTTGTCGGCAAATACACGATTGTTCACCCAGTTGGGCCTAGAAACCTGGAAATCCTCCTTAGGCACGATAGCTAGCGCCGGCTCTGTTAACAGAGATAGAAAAGAATCACAGATAAGAATTTTGAGCCAGAGCGAAGCCAAGAAGAAAAGCAAAGGATCACATAACGGGGGTATGACACCAAATCATATTAATCTTGGATCATATGATGAAAAATAAGGAACTGCAAACATTGGTCGATTGACTGTTTGTTTAATTGATACTATGTATGGGCGAGTTATCTATTACTGAAGATCCATTTCATGTTCTAAATCAGCTTATGTGTTCTGCAGAATTCAAAAGGGAATTTTATGAAAATGGGGTATTAGAATTTATGCAATTTAAGATTTGAATAAACCGTTTCGACTTCCTTTATCCTAAGAAAATTCTATAGAATCTATAGAGATACAGAGCTGGTGTTCAGATATCAACCCCATACATAGATACAGAAATTAGAGAGTAGTTCACCAGTCGCCTGAAGTTTACATTAAAGGCTGAAACTCTTCTGAGTTACAACTTTGAACTTTTCTTTATACCAAAGCGTAACTCAAATATATGTTTCAATTAGAACCACGAGGCATAGAAGTCAGAAAACGATTTCTGATATGCTTTGCATTGAACTTAGCAAATGGTATACAAATGAGATGACTAAATGGGTGTTGAAAATCTGTAGGACCGTGCTACCACTCGCCAAAAGGTCCTTTGGAATCTAATGAAGAAGACGAAATCAGACCTGGGTGCAATGAAAAGTATGCCAGGGAAGGGTCACGAGAAATTAAACTCTGGAGAAAATCATTCCTGATCTTTATCATTTTTGGATTCGTACCCTTATTTCTGGTCTTTTTGAATGAAATGAAATTAAATTGTACGAGACGCACACAGTACATTTATGGAAAACTATTTCTTAAAAACAAATAGCTAAACAATATAATGTAGTGCAAGGAAAAGTCACTGGTTTTAATGATATAGAACGATTCATCTAAAGGGAAGGCATCGTTTGTATCGAGCTAAAAGCTAAATTGGTAAGAAAGCACTGTTGTCTACAGTGGAAGGCTGTGGAGTGGTATTTCGGTATGAGTTGAGAAAATATTCAGTTCAAAAGTAGGTTAAGGATCTTCTGCTTCTCTCTGCCAACAATTTGCAGGGCTAAACTCAGCGAGCGGCTTAAAAGTTTAAACTTACGTAGACAGAAACTGTATATTGTGATATAAGTATATTTTTTATATCATCTTCAGGTCTGAGGGGATTGCCGCTGCATAGGACTCATTTATTGCAAATGTCCATGTTTACAACCGCAGACACAATTTGTGCTATAGTGTTTCCAACTGAAAGAAGCTGGTCTACAACGAAGTGCTAGCTGTTGCAACATTTAACCTGAGGTGGGTAAATAATATCTTGTCACATTATTTTTGCTGAGAAGGCAGTCAGTTGCCCATTCCTAGCTGTACCACCAGTTTCTGTGGCTAGATTTTATCAATCACCATGCATCAAGTAGTTGTTGCAAGGTACAACGAACCATTCTGCCTCATCGTATAGACATGGCATTGCGACGGTAGGATTAAGACGGGCAATGACAGGCAGTCAGTAATCCAAATGCTATACGGCTTGTGGTTTAAACGTCCTTGTGAATCGCATCTATTGTGGGATCTTTTTCATAGACAAAACTATCTAATATTGCCAAGATGGTTTTGGTCGAGACGCTGCCTAGGCAAACCCTGATGACCTTTTATTGATCGTAAGCCAATTAAGCTGAGGTTTAAGCAGATACGTTCTAGTTTACAGTGTGTAATAGAAAAAGTTAAAAACAGCCATATAAATTTATATTTCATGGGATTTGTTGCAACTTAGAATGACACCCACATAGGTATTTGTTAAATATTATCAAAGCATGCCCATTTTTGTATTAATTGGCCAATGCTTCTAATGTTTGTGAACTAGAAACAATCATTAGCTCTTTCTTCGTTTAAAGTTAAAATTAGCTCGAGACTAAATAGGCGACATAAAGTCAACTTTTTAAAGTTGCCTTAGGTTATGGCATAATAATAAGAGCCTCGTTACCTGTTTGTAACATGTTTTGTGTAAGCAAAGGCAACAGGGATGATCTACTTACAGCAGATGTAATGTTGAAGACTTCAATGGTTCTCCGGAAGGCTTAATGCTCCTCATTAAGTACCCTCTTTGGAATCTTCAGTTACAGAGTTCAGTATTGATATTTTCATTTTTAACATAGGTTATAAAGTTCTGCCTTTAATTTTAGCTTTAAAGAAAGCATTGATGCCTGTGCCCTTCTTCATTTGTTATGTCTTCCACTGTTCCTTTGTGATACCTGTCCCCACCTCGGTGCTCTGCCTTTGCCCGTTTACGCCTGGTTAAAGTAAAGCCCGTTAATTTTTTTTACATCTACACAGAAAAATGGGGCATCTTTAATGTATGAGTTTGTAAACTTGCCTTTTTCAAAAAGAAATCAAACAAAACATTTGTCACTCTGATTGCGATCTATCTCGAAGATTTCAAGGAAAATAGACGCGTCAGTTCAAGGGTGTGCCCTAAACTAAGATCCACTTTTACTCCGTTGCAGCCATCTGTCATATTTCACTGACGCTGTTACAGTGTATGGTACGCGTTTTGAAAATTACATGCATACAAACGTTTTATGCAAGTTTTTGTCGGTGATGGAGTGCGTATTTGCCACAAAACGCAATTTGATAGACCGATTATCACATTTGATGTGTCATCTTGTGATGTGGCTACACCTGGCTACGCCCATGTGTAAATGATACTCAAACCCTCATTAGGTATTGCTTTGTGTCAGGGCTCTGGTGCAACTTGCTGCCTGCTTCAATTTCATTTCTATACCATACCTTTCATAAAACCCGTTATATATGCACTAGATTGCAATATAACAATAAAGCTAAAATTCCTTATTTTTGTTGCATATATGCCATCGAAGGCAAATCAGATTACAAGGTTGTCAATCATAACTTTCAGGCATATAAAGCGCAGTAACCCAGGATTAAACACAGTTTTGATTATTTAGTTTTTATGAATTTATCTGTTTATTTTTTACGGTATCAAGACGTATTACGTTCGCGTTGACTTCAAAGGTGCAAATGCAAAACATTAAGAGGCATTTCAGCTGAACTACATTTCACAACCTTCGTTAGATTGCTCTTTCAAGGAAACCTCGCACTGGTGCAACAGGGATTTGCCAGGCGCTGCTGCTTAATTTTTGCTAGATTTAGCGAACTAATTTGAAATTATTAAACCTCTGTCTATGAGCGAGAATTAAATTTTATTTCGTCGTATTTTGACCGTATCGATTTAAGATTGTTTCTAATTTTATTTTATGATAGTTCCAGCAAAGCCTTTAACCATGTGGCAATGATTTGTTAATGACATGTCAGTATTAAAGATGATTTAGCGAATAGGGCTGCAAATAATTTGATATTTCAGGGCAATTTTCAATTTATTTCTTATAATGGCAATATAATATAATGGCTTGCTAGGATTAACGCTTGCTATATTTGAAAAGGTTTATTTTGCTGTTGAATTCAGATCTACAGCAAAGTGTCAAAAACGAGAATTAAAAAAATGATAGCATTCAGGGAAAAGTGCATTTGTATGTGACCTGTTTAGCTCCTTCAAGCAATAATAGCTTTCTATACCATAAAAGCTTCCTTTTGAAGACAAGGCTATCATTTTGGATTGGGTTTCCTCTGTTAAGGCGTACAGTACAAAATCCTTTCATCTCGTTGGGCAAAACGCCACTCAAGAATGATCAGGCAATGGGTAGCAGCAGTTAGATACTTTGTTATAGCAAAGACATTCACCAAAATATCTTATTACCATATTACGATGTTATTAATTGTTCGACCAATATTTTTGCTACATTTAACCAAAGCACGTTGAATATCAAGTTCTTTTCTACCGACGGAGCAGCTATGATGTGATGCAATCATCCCATGTGGTATATGTTGCTTTTTTAAAATAACCTTTGAATTCTGCGCAAATTGATAGTGGTTTTGAATATATAACAAATAAAACGGTTCTGAACTGCCACATTCCGCTATACTTAATCCAAGCATACCGATGCCATTGCCTCTACGAGCTCAATAGGCCCATTGTTACATAACCATGCATCTACATGTGAGAATCAAGCAATCTTCGTCCTTTCCTTTGCCGATAAGCAAAGCCTTTCAAAACTTTCGTCAGAAAACAAAAATTAGGCCGTGATTGGGTGTGGCAAATCCGTGCAATGAAACTTTTCTGGATTTCCTTTACCTACTTACT